ATGATTATTATTGCTAGTGATGCAATTATAGCAGAAATTCTTGAGGAACATTTTTCGTGAAAGTAGTTAGTGACTGAGGCATCACCCACCAGGCGTATGACTCCTTGTAGGATGGAATATAAGAGCATCAGCATGTTTGGATGCTGAACCCCATACATGAAAGAAGTCCTGTAGAAAAGGGCGTATCTGTGCTTTGTAGTTCATGATAAGCTGTTGAGGTGTGAATTAGATTTTTGCACGGAACAAGAAACCAAGTTTTTTTGGAGTAGTTTGTGGGATGAATCGGACCTGATTTCTCAATGTTAGTGTATCGCTGATGGTGATACCGAGCGTAGATATAGTGGTCTTGGTGAGAATGGTGATACCAGACATTGTTATATCAGAAATACTGAGTTCGAGTTCCGCCTTTTCCTAGAGGAAAAAGTGTCTTGAACTTTGGGGGCGTTGAATTCAACTAGATTGTTGGTTCCCCTGGTTGTAATTCCCGCAAAATTTTCATCGACAGCGTTGGTTTTTAGTATCCTGACAAATAATGGAAATTCTTGAAGATAACGCAGTATGGAGACAACTATCATCTGCAGAGCTGTGAATAGGGCAAGTGTTTGCTCACAATAGATCGTTGATATGAAATAGGAACAATGTTGGTGCCAGAAATTATCCTTGTAGTGGAACACCGGAATTGATTATGATGGTATCAGACGATACTCCGTTATCACTTCAAGATAGAACGACCTACCTGAAAGAGCACTCGATAAAATTTGACATATCTGAAGTGGTATGTCTGAGGCTACACATGAAGATTCCCCATGTTTTCCTGAAGCGACTTCTCATATATAAATTACGTAGAGAGGTGAATCTCCATTTGATCTTTGGTGGCAGAAGCCATAATATGTCTATCTTCAATGATTCCTGAGATTTCTAGATATTTTATCAGCCCAATGTTGATAGATTTCTCCATCAATTTGGAAAGACTGATAAAAAAACAATTGGCCTTCAGTCGTTTGGTAGGCATTTGTTTTCTCTCCTGGGAATTGGTTGGACTCAAACTATTTTTCAGCAAGATGAAATAATAACTGACTTCTTGGAGCTGGTATATAACCCACAAAGAATTGGGGTCAATACTGGTGCACATCCCTCAAGAATGATGGGTGGAATTCCATCAGGACCGTTAGCCTCATTTGTTTCGAGACCAAGCAGAATGCTCCTGAAAGTGCTTGGACCAAAGACGATTTCATGCATTCGACTTGAGTTTGCTTCGAACATCTCTGAGAAAATGTTCGCTTCTCCTCATGATGATGTTGATGATGTGCCGTTAGCTTTGGAGAGTAGTAGTAATGAACAATCAGAGAAATTCCTTCTGACTGCTTCAGCAAGGGATTGAAATAAACGGGAGCCATTGGGAACATCTATCAGTTTTGATGTCATCCTGGCATTGTATGATTCTTCAGCTGCATCTTTCGTCTAGCTGCAATTGATTCTTGCTTCAACATTGATTTCTGCTCTAGTCACGAGGTTTTGGTCATTGCTTCAGCGATGGTTAGTTGTTTGTTTCAAGGCAACAACTCTAGAACAGTTATTGCTGAACCAATACTAGAGTGAGTGTACTAGATCTGAGCCTCAGAGTACTCTGTTTTGAATTGAATACAGGACATTTGCACTCTCTATCGAAGCTTCATTTCATCACCGGAAGGAGACAAAACCCTTGAACAATAATTTCTGAATCTGAGAGTTTCAGGAAACCTCTCCATTGACGAGAAGTATTTATAGCCTACGAGCAATCATTCGTCGGCGAGGTGTAAGTTAACGTCCTCGCATGGACAACATATCGAAAGTACCGACTGAGACGTCCGTAGGACGTTATTTCTCGGACATTGGGAGAGTAAAGTGCATGTACCAATTGGGACATCCGACGAATATCCCTAAGGGACATTCGAAGGATGTCCCTAAGGGACATTTCGATTTTTATACGATCCTGGAAATATTGAGGGCGTCTGTGCAGATATATTTGAAGGAATGTACCATCAGGGACATCTCATGGTTGTCTAGAAGGGACATTATATAAGATCTGGGGTCATGCCAGAATATTAACTACTCTGGACATCCGATGGATGTTCCTGAAGGAACGTTAAAAATTATATCCCATTAGGGACATGCCAGGGACGTCCTTGCATGGACATTCTACAATATGTGTTACGTGGGATGTCTAAGGGATGCAATTTCTGGGAGATTTGGAATGATGTACCAGCTGAGACATTCCGTGGACGTTCTTGCTCGGACATTGCATGAGATGTACGGGATGGGACGTCCCAAGAACACTCATTTTTGGTCTGGGACATTCGGACTTAAATTGTACCAAATAGGGACGTTCTAGTACGTTGTGTGCTATATATATATGATATTCATTGTGTAATTACATTTGAGAGTACTGATCAAGTTTGGGACATGAGGAAGTCAAGAGATCATATAATTCATTGAATTCAAAAAGGAAAATTGTATCTCTGAAGCCAATCAATTCCACTTTCCACGAGAGATGATGTGTGTTTCATTCCCGCGGGAGTAAATTGACAGCTTTGTATATTTGAATTAGGTAGCAAACGCATACTTCCGATCCGGTGAGTAGATAAAATACTCACGTTATTCGGGTGCAGAAGCGAACACAACACTTTTTATCTTCGAACTGATTCATTTCAACTGGAGGAACAATAATTTATATCGAACTCATAACTACTATTTATTCAAAATGATTTATATCACGCCGTATATGACTGTCTCTCTGACACTCGCTGCTTGACTGACGGATGGCGGCGGTCCTGCCGTCCTTATATACAGGGTGATTCACATAAGAACCGACATAGAGCAGGGGCATGTAGGAGGTCCCAAAATATGGCAATTTAACGCAACTTACCTCTATACCAAGTTGCTTCCCCGAGGAGTTATAGGCTTTGAAAGTGAAGTTATAAATTTGAAAAAAAAACAATATCTCCGTTATTCTTGAACTTAAAGCAATCAAAGTTGGTACACTTCGTGAATGTATCAAGGGCCTTACTTGACAGTAAGTAGAGCTCGATTGGAATTTGTAAAGGGGGTTATCCCCGGTGGCGCACAATTAATATTCAACAGAATTTTGTTAACCCCTCGATGGATTTCAACCCCATCATTTTCATCAAAAACTCGAATAACTGAAAACGCGCGCTCTAGGTGTATTATTTAAAATCATCGAAAATTCAAAAGTTGGCTATGAAAATAAACGTACAATGAGAAAGTAGGTCATCAATTGTGAAAATTAAAAATTGGCTGGCAAATTATTATTAAGATACGTAACAAAATACGTAAAGTAAGGACAGATACTGAAATGTGAAAAACTGGGATTAACAACTAACCAAAATAAACACAAAAAACTCAAACAACAACAAGAAAAAACAATTGTTTATCGATAAAATACTCGATTGAACAACTTACTTGCTTCATTGTCAAGTTTGACGTTTATTTTCATAGCCAACTTCTGAATTTTCGATGATTTTAAATAACACACCTAGAGCACGCGTTTTCAGTTGTTCGAGTTTTTGATGAAAATGATGAGGTGTTTCGAGGAATTACTGGACTAAGGAAAGTTTTATAATTGAATTGCCCACAAAAAAAAGCAAAGATTTAAAAAATCCAGCAAGGGTTAACAAAATTCTGTTGAATATTAATGGTGCGCCACCCGGTATACCCCCTTAACAAATTTCAAGTAAGCTCTAGTTACTGTCAAGTAACGCCCTAAATACATTCACAAAGTGTACCAAATTTGGTTGCTTTGAGTTCAAGAATAACGGAGATATTGATTTTTTTCAAAATTTATAACTTCACTTTCAAAGCCTATAACTCCTTAGGGAAGCAACTTGGTATTGAGGTAAGTTGCGTTAAATTGCCATATTTTGGGACCCTCTTCATGCCCCTGCTCTATGTCGGTTCTTATATGAATCACCCTGTATAAGATCCCTTGGTAAGCTTATCTTGTAGAACCTTCTCGAATAATCTTCCGTACCCTCCTTTTGTTCCAGAAGCTTCATAGAACAATACCTTCCTCCCTAATCATTACATCTATGGTTTTCAGAACATTCCACGATTAGCTAAGGTCCTACGATGGTCGATACTTCCCCTTCTGAGTAAAAGCAAATCCTTTTGAACAGGCATAGAGTAAGTAGAAATAAAGAGATTCAGGGGCAGACCCACCCCTGAAACCCGCGGAGACACCCCCACCCCCTTCTCGAAGGGGTGGTGCGCACAGTTGCATATAAATATTATTTTCTCAAAAACGGTGAGAGATAGAGATTTGCGATTTACGCCATTCGAAAGAAAATTGAATTTTACATCTGATAGATATTTTTTAATTGAACAAAAATCTCAATGTCAGCTCCCAATAAAAAATATATGGGAGGAGGGAGTTCTAGGCTGTCATGTTTTTCCTCATAACTATTAAACGGTGCAAAGAATCGAAAAATTGAATGAGAGAAAAAATGAAGCTTGCAGTTTTTTCTATCGAACGATATATATGAAGTTGGAGATATCTATATAGAGAAGGCATCCAGTGGCGTACGAACACATGCGCGTTTGGTAGAATAATGTGTGAAAAATGATAAAACATACCTACCTACCTACCGTTGGTGCATACAACGTCAGAAATGAACATTTTACTATATGACGTGAGAGGAAGAATTTGATCTACTCATCACACAGACTAATAATTATGTAGGATACTACTTGGATTCAAGAAGGAATGTGGAAAATCTAACAATAAAGGTATACAACAATTTAAACATTTTTATTGTAATAAAAACAATCTAAAAGCATTAAAATTGACTCATCAACTCCGAAAACTACATAAAACAATCTGAGAACATAAAAATTAACTCATCAACTGAAAATAAAATAAAACATATATAAAATCAGGTACTACAGCGCTAATTGCAGGTACATAATGGTGTAAATTTTAATTTCCTCAGGAAACATTTGCATTCATGATCACAAATTTCACATTGGCATTTAATCATTATATCTGTTTCCAATCTTTCGTTCTTGATAGTTGTCCAGAGTGGTATCCATTTTTCTTCTTCCAATGTCCATCTTCATTGGGATCAGATACCTTCAAAACATATGGTAATCCGTTCCAGGAAACCTCAACTGAATTATTCGCTCTAGATAGTAGAATTGTCGTGAATGACGAATGTTTGAGACTGTTATTAGATAAAGGCGTCCATCAATGCAGAGCATTTTTCTATGATAGGTTGATACACTCGAAAAAATCAATTTCTGAACCAATCACTAAAAATAATAAAATTCCCTTCAAGAATAAAAAAAATAAGCAGAATAAATCAAGTAAAGTGAAAGAATTAAAATCAGATGTTACTTTATTCAGTAGACTTCACGTTGTGTCACAGAATAGAGATGGTGACCTGACATTTTTTTTCAAATTTGAGAATCATCCTTATCCACCCTCACTCGCTCAACTTGGTCAAATGTACCATGGCACGGAATCAGATTTATTACGATGCTTAGACAAATACATAACAGTTGAGAGTAAACCAACTGATGTTGATGCTGTATTGATTGATGGTGCTGCATTAGTACACATACTACAACCCAAGGCTTGCTGTACTTTTCAAGAATATATCTCTCTTATTGTAGAGCCTTATATTCTAAGAATTTTAGATACCTCTAAGAGGATTGATGTAATCTGGGATATTTATATTGATAAGAGATTGAAGGCAAGTACAAGAGAAAAGATGGGAAAAGGGAAAAGGAAATTGGTAAGAGAAAACACCAGCATTCCACGAAATTGGAATGACTTCTTGAGAGACTCGGAAAATAAGAAACAATTGTTCGATTCAATTTCCAACCACCTCAAAGACATGCCATTACCCGAGAATACAGTAGTAGTATGTAATACAATTGAGCAATCAATAAAATAACTGGTGTTTGCAACCATGAGGAAGCTGATACTCGGATTTTTGTTCATACTCAAAATTGTATGGAAAATAATTTGAAAAGAATCTTGATAAAAACTGTGGAAACTGATGTGATCATTCTCGCAATTTTCTATCAGTATCAGCATCAAGAGCAGGATATTTGGATAGAGTTTGGTACGGGAAAGAATATGAAGTACATTTCTTGCGTAGAAATTTCTGATAAATTGAAAGAGAAATGCCTGGGTCTGCCAATGTTTCACGCTTTCACTGGGTGCGATGTAACATCAGCCTTCTTCGGAAAAGGAAAAAGAAAATGTTGAGAAGCATGGTATGTTTTTTCTGTCGTAACAGATGTATTAATAGAGCTGACACTTCGCCCTAAACAACCTGATGAAAATCAGTTACATATATATTAGAAAAGTATGTCATATTTTTGTACGATAAACATTCAGAAGCGGAAAACTTAGATGTTTGTCGAATGGACTTATTTACAAAAAAAATAGGTCTATTGAGAATCTTCCACCCACATTCAATGCACTTTCACTACACGCCAGAAGATGTATTTATCAGGGAGGCCATATTTGGGGCAATTTAGCTACTGCTAATTTGGAATTACCCTGTCCCTCCCAATGGGGATGGACATTGGAAGAAGAACAATGGATACCACTCTGGACAACTTCAAGAACGACAGATTGGAAACAAATATAATGATTAAATGCCAATGTAAAATTTGTGATCATAAATGCAAATGTTTCCTGAGGAAATTAAAATGTACCTACACAATTATGTACCTGTAAAGAATGCTGCAATTAGCGCTGTAGTACCTGATTTTATATATGTTTTATTTAATTTTCAGAGTTGATGAGTTAATTTTCATGTTCCCAGATTGTTTTATGTAGTTTTCGGAGTTGATGAGTCAATTTTAATGTTTTTAGATTGTTTTTATTACACTAAAAATGTTTAAATTGTTGTACCTTTATTGTTAGATTTTCCACATTCCTTCTTGAATCCAAGTAGTATCCTACATAATTATTAGTCTGTGTGATGAGTAAATCAACATCTTCCTCCCACGTCATATAGTAAAATGTTCATTTCTCACGTTGCATGCACAAACGGTAGGTAGGTAGGTAATTTTTATCATTTTTCACACATCAATCTACCAAACGCGCATGTGTTCGTACGCCACTGGATGCCTTCTTTATATAGATATCTCCAACTTTATATATATCGTTCGATAGAAAAAACTGCAAGCTTCATTTTTTCTCTCGACAATTTTTTCGATTCTTTGGGCCGTTTAATAGTTATGAGGAAAAACATGACAGCCTAGAACTCCCTCCTCCCATATATTTTTTATTGAGAGGTGACATTGAGATTTTTGATCAATCAAAAAATATCTATCAGATGTACAATTCAATTTTCTTTCGAATGGCGTAAATCACAAATCTCTATCTCTCACCGTTTTTGAGAAAATAATATTTATATGCAACTGTGCGCACCACCCCTTCGAGAAGGGGGTGGGGGTGTCTCCGCGGGTTTCAGGGGTGGGTCTGCCCCTGAATCTCTTTATTTCTACTTACTCTATGCCTGTTCAAAAGGATTTGCTTTTACTCAGAAGGGGAAGTATCTGACCATTTTTGGGCTCGTAGGCACTATACTAGATCTTGTGTCACGTTATTTGCCGCGACATATATTAAGTGTTCGCAAATAGGCTGGTACATGTAAGAATCATTGGGATGATGGAGAACAATCTGGGATGCGTGTAACAGGATGATCGTTTTACTCCTGCCTTCTTGATGATATTTATAGAGCCCTTCTAAGGGGAATATCATCACGATATGATATCTTTCTTACGCTCATGAACACTCGGAGTACCCAAAATTTCTTTTGACTTATGTGGGGCGGCCGAAGCGTCGTCTTTGTCGGCGAACGGGCTGCCATACCGCTCTTCATTCCAAAATCCGTAGTTTTGAAGCGGCAAAATCGATTCTGCACAGAAAAAATTATGGATATATTTCAGGAAATTTCATCGCCGCTTTAGTTGTCAATCTGATAGATCTCTTCATGAGAATTTGCGACAGAATTTCACAACCACATTTCATTACTTTGCCTTCTGAACGGACAGAAAATGATGTATTAGCATTATTGAACCCATAATCAAGATCGATTTTGTCTCCACCTGTTAAGTAACGATATTGAAAAGAACGATAGAAGAGGCAACTTTGTTTCAAACCAACTCTTTTTGCGGGGATTATCAAGAATAGTATTGCTCTGAAATGAAATTGTCATGAAACAATTCGAATGTAGAATCATCGTATAATCCCTTTGAGTCGGTTCTGGTTATGAAATTCATAGGAATCGAGAACATATATTTTGAAGCAAGCTTTTCCTCCAAGCTCCTTCCTCTGGGACTTCTCATTCAAGATATCGACAAATACCTGAAATCACAAAAATACTCGAAGATGAAATACTTCTATATCAAAGCACAATATTTATCCATATCAGTTCACTTGTATAACTTGATCGATAATATGGCATACTTACCATATTTCATAAACTCAGCTGACCTATATATGATCGAATCATTCCAGAGAGTCAGAGGACATTTCATAACACAATTTCATAGCGTTTTTCAACTCAATATACCAGATAAGCGTAATTTCCATGTTAAGTTCAAGCTTTCGTGACTAATTCGAAGCAATGGCAATTAAATATCAGACGACTGTTGCGTGTATTCGCCAACATCAAGATGGAATTGTTGAATTGTTCCATATCTTCCTTTTTCAAATAGTAAATAGTCAAGATATGGTGCTCAATTATTTTATTATATTCATGAATATTTCACAAATAGACGACTTGTATGTACAAAGTGGCTTGGATAGAAAACGAACCAAAATCACTCAATATATTTCAGAATTTTTCATAGAAAATGATACTGCTGATGAATCATTGGAGATTATTGAACTGATCATATCTCCAATTGGCTTAACTTCCTCATGAACGCAAATTGGATATCTGCTTTAGATTTATCAGTATTGTATGTACATTTCAACATGTATTTTTATTACGAATCAGATTTTTGCAAATGAAAACATGTACATTCTTATTTATGAAACGGATTTTCTACCTATACATGCACGTACTAGACAATAATCAAAAAGGTGTAAGGGTATATATTTCCACATGATATGTATTTTTTCTAACTATCCGACATTTTATCCCAATCGAGTATCAATCACAATGCCCCAAAAATAATGGCAGTTAATGATATAGATATACCTATTGGGATATATCGCAATATTGATAGTTTCGACAGTATTTTATGCAACAATCGTGAAATGATACCTATTGATACACGAATACGGGGTGAGTTATAAAACACCAGCCGTGTATCAATAGTCATCACATTATCGATGCCCACATTATATTTTTTACGACCAACAAACAACGTCGATTTTAGCGTCGCAAGCAAAAACCTATCTGACCTACAATCAATATTACAGATGTTTCAACTTATTGTAACCATAAATGACCCTACTAGAATAACTATCAAATCATCTACAATAATCGATAATATTCTCATAAAATCCAATCTCAAGTACAAATCCTATGTCGAAGATATAGGGATTTCGGATCACTCCGCGCAAATATTGAAACTCCAACATCATTTTAGCCAACGTAGTGAAATCACGCCATTCATAACAAAACGAGTATTTAATAATAAAAATAATGAAACATTCTCGAACCTTCTTGGCGACATTGACTGGTGTTCTCTGTATGAAAGGAACGAAATACACTCTGCATTTGAAATGTTTTATTCCATCATCAGTCCCTGCTTCTCACAAGCATACCCAAAAATTAGATTAAAATTGAGGGATAAACAAACTCACAAGGAGTGGCTCACAAGAGGCATAAAACTGTCTTGCAAAAACAAAAGGTTTCTTCTGCAGTTAAAACGTTGGACTGATAATCAAACAATTCTTGAATATATAGCCGAATATCTAAAAATATTGAAGAAAGTTATCAAATGTGCAAAATGTACTTATTTTGGAAATAAAATTGAATCAGCCGAAAACAAAAGCAAAATCACATGGGACGTAGTAAAAACTTTAACTGGTAAAAGTAGTCGTTTATCTGATAACATACACATAAAAAAAGATAATACTCTAATCGATGACCCAGTCAACGTTGCCAACGAATTTCTAAATTTTTTCTGTAATGCCGGCACAAGGAACATTTCCAATGTCACGAGCAATTCATCAAGCGAAAACTACATTAAACGAATGAATATGAACTTTTTGAACTCCCTCAATTTTGCGCCCATCACCGAGTCGGATATTGTTAACTGCGCTAGTGCTCTGAAACCGAAAAAATCTTCAGGAATAGATGAAATACCAATGACTGTCATAAAAAATAATATCAACTTGTTGAAAGCCCCTCTCACGTTTCTTTTCAATATGTCTCTATCCACTGGAATATTTCCTAACTGTTTCAAAACATCTGTGGTAGTACCGATTTTCAAGAAGGGTGATAAATCCGAGATAAACAATTATAGGGCCATATCATTATTAGCAAACTTCAGCAAACTACTCGAATGGATAGTTAATTATCAACTCAAAAATTACCTGCACACCAAAAATATTCTGACAGAATACCAATTTGGATTCAGAAAAAACCTTAACACAACCGATGCAGCTTTTACGCTCTTGGAGAGATTACACAATATCCTGGAATCAAGAGAATTTCCACTTGGTATATTCTGTGATCTCTCCAAAGCGTTCGATTGTGTGGATCATGTAATTTTGCTGAATAAACTAGAATACTATGGGATCCGAGGGATTGTTAAACAGTGGTTTGAAACTTATCTAAGAGATAGGGAAATGTTGGTAAGAGTAGAATATAGGGCACAGAACAGAATCGAACACTATCAATCAGGAAGGGGTCGCATAGAAACCGGCGTACCCCAGGGTTCTATCCTCGGACCAACACTGTTTCTCATCTACATA